ACTTGGTCTGGTCGACCAGGTGGTGGTCGTCGACCTGGGCGGTCGACGGGCACGAAGAGGAGAGGCGCCGACTTGGGGGGCGCCGACCTGGGGAGTGGCCGACTTGGTGAAGTCGGCTGGTGGTCGTCGACTTGGGCATTAGATGAGCACATACAACTTCTGGTCGACTTTCCCCGAAGAAGTCGACGCCGACCTGGTGGTTTCCAGGTCGACCAAATTACCTGCGGAGGCACGCGACAGTCGCCCAGGTGTTAGTGGCGAGGCCGACCTCGGTATGGTATCCTGAGGTCGACGTGGCTGATCAGATGCAGTCGTCAGCGCTAGGTTGATTTGGTGTGTGCGCTGTGCAGGTGACCAGGCACGGCGCGCCAATCATCTGCGAGCACGTGCGAAGCAGGTGCGCTGCTGTTCTGCGGATGCAACGTTGGCACGCCGTCGACCTGCGACGTTGGCACGCCGTCGACTTGCAGTATTGGCAAGCCGCAACTTTGCACTGCTGGAGCGCGGTCGGCCAAGTCGTGCTAGAACGCGGTCGACCATGCTGCGCTGGCAGTCGACCTGCTTGCATGCTAGCTCTGATGTAGTCTTGTCTTGCCAACTTGATTGTACAATTGTTCTCAACTTTTGCTAGTGAAACTCTTGCGGTTTTGCCCCGTGAATGCACAAGTGCTAGAGAACGACTAAGGAACGAACGCAGAGATCCCTCCTACCCCGTGCCTAACCTGTAGTCTAGCTCCCATTGATAGAGTTATCTCCGCACCACTCGTGCAGCGGCTAGTGACTCCCCTGCTGCAGCTGGTGGAGGTGACGCTCGGGTTCGTCAGGCACCTGCTGGTTCACCAGCTGCAGGAGCTGGAGTGGCAGCTTGGTACCTGACTCAGCGGCAGCAGCAGCCGCTCCTCTCGCAGCAGCCACAGCAGCAACAGCGGCAGCAGCAGATTCCGGGGCAGGGGTCAGGACCGCGTCAGCCGTCGCGTGGAACCGTCCACCCTCCCTGAACCTATCTCGTTCAGACAGGTGCTCACCGAGACCTCCCCGGTGGCCGCACCCACCCACCGGGTTAGTGCTTTGCTCAGCTCACTGACACACTTCGTGCGGCCTACGGCGTTGGCGGCCCTGCCCCTGACTGGCTTCCCCTTGTTCTTGACACCAGCGGCCATCTTATCAATTGGGCAATACCATGTTTACACTTCCCTTTTTGATTTTGTACTTCACGAAGAAGTAACGAAGCAACATCTAGACTAGACTAACAAACTATAACAAGTATAGTTTGACACAACACCATAGTCTAGGTGACGGCAGCCCTGTGAAAAGCAACATATAGCTCAGGGTGGGTCACGAAGTCACCACACAGTCTCAGAGCACGGTCCAAAGGACCGATCAGCAAGAACAAGCAACGGTCATAAGACCAGTTCACAAGAACAAAGAAACTTTCGAGGTGGATCTCAAGATCTCCACACAGTCCGAGAACAAGCAAGGGGCCACAAGGCCGGTCCACATGCAAGTATATAACAGATATAGGAGATGCAAGAGTACAAGACAAGACAGACAAGCATCTCTAGGTAAGTAAGGGGCCACAAGGCAAGTCCACAAGCAGAGATATAAAAAAGATAGTGAGATGCAAGAGTACAAGACAAAGCATCTCTACGCATGCAAGTGAGGGCCTGTAGATACAAGGCCTAGCTGGGTGCAGAAACGATGGTGGTCACAAGGCGGAAATGCCTTGGTGAAGATATACGTTGTATTGGCCTCAGAGACCACACGTCGCATGAGTGCCTAGCCACGCTGCTGCAACTCGCGCAGAAGGAGTAACGAAGCTGGATGTGCTTCGCCTTTCCAACCAGTCGGGGCTCCTCGCACAACAGCAAGCCTGTTGTCGGCGAAAAAGGCTGGGAGAGAGCAAGGCCGCTCACCAAGGTCGGTGAGGAGGAAAGACAGCCAGCAAAAGCTCTTGGGCAGCCATGGCCGCAACGTACACCTCTGCCTCACAGCTGGAGCTGGAGACGGACGAAGCCCGAGTCGATCTCAACGAAACAGCTCCAGTCCCAAGGCTGAAGCAGTAACCATGTGTAGACCGCAGTGACTCAGCGTCGTCGGCCCACGACGAGTCCGAGAAACCTCTGAGTGTAACTTGCTATTTCCCTCCAAGCACAAGTCCCATACCTGATGTACTCGCCACGTACTTCGCCACCCTCTTAGGAGCGTACGAGTGGGAAGGTCGATGCCTCCCATGCGCAACAAAGCTTGCAAGGACGCAAAGAGGGTAAGCTAGGTCTGGGCGAGTACAGGTCATCAGGTACATGAGACAGCCCTCCAGCTCAGGATATGGACCGCTGGACTCAAATGGCTCGTCCGAAGGTGGAGCCGTGAACCCATGATCCACTGCAAGAGGGGTGAGCTGTACCTTAGAGAACGGGAAGCGAAACCGCGTGAGGATCTACTCGACCATATTCGACTACGTCAGCGTAATGGTGCGAGCTGCCCTGCCCCTAGTAATCTGAGGCCAAGGTAGCGCTGCAACTCACCAAGGTCAGTGCAAGTGTGTCTCCTCTGCAGTTCCTTTTTCACGGAGGCCAGTTCGCGTTGGTCGGGGGTGGCGAAGACAAGGTCGTCAACGTAGAACAGAACAACGAACGGGGTCGAGCCGCGGCGGACGAACAACGACGGTTCGGCAGACGACGGAAAGAAGTCAAGCGCTGCAAGTACGTACGTAGCGTGTCGTGCCACTCGCAGGTAGTCTGGCGCAAGCCGTAGACCAGTCGACGCAGCTGCCACTGGGTCCCAAGAGGGAAAGTGCCAGTGAATCCAGGTGGACGATGCAGATAGATCTGCTCATGTATGTCAACGGGAGTTTTGGTTGGCCCCGTCCTCACTTGGGCAGAGCCGACTTCGCAGTAGGGTGTGCGGGGGGTGCATCCGATCAGTTGCAGTGAGGGCGCCTAGCTGGAGGGCGCCGAGCAGGAGAACACCATCATGGGCGTTTGGACGGCGTCCTGGGCGCCAGGACGCCGACCTAGGCGTCTGGACGGCGTCTTGGGCGCCTGGACGCCGACCTGGGCATCTGCACGGCGTCCTGGGCGCCTGGACGCCGACCTACGCGTCCGGACTCCGACGTGGGTGCTGGGACACATCCTCTGGGGACGCCGGTCTGGTGTAGCTGGCGGCCGACAAGGTTGGACGACCGGGCGTGGTTGCCCGGTCAAACGAGTTACCCAGGCGATGCGTGCGATGGTCGCCGGGGTGGTTTCAGCGAGGCCGACCTCGTAAGTGGTATCCCGAGGTCGACGTGGCTGGTGGGCGCAGTTGTTGGCGTGTCCTCTGCCAGGCGTGGTGCACCAACCAACTGCACGCACCTGCAAAGCGGGTGCATCATTGTCATGCGGGTGCAACGCTGTGCAGCCAACTTGCTGCAGCATTGGCACACCGTGTACTTGCAACGTTGGCAAGCCTCTTCTCTGCTGCGCTGGAGCGGTGCGAGATTTGCAACGCTGGATCGCGGTCAACCGTACTGCGCTGGAGGTCAATCAGCAGGCTTGCTAGCTCTGATGTAGTCTTGCTTGCCATTATTGTTGCTACCATTGTTGTCAACTTTCCTTAGTGAAACTCTTGCCAAATCTCCCCGTGAACCAGCACGTAGTGTGAGCACAAGAAAACGACTAAGGAACGGAGAGATCACCCGTGCCTAGCCCGTAATCTAGCTCCCGTTGATTCAGTTATCTCCACTTGGTGCGGTGAGCGTGGAACGAACACCGCGACTTCAGTCTTGTCGACATATTTTCACACACCGATCGTGTTCGTAGGCCGGCAGCAGTGCGTTAGTCACCATGGTGGGCGTCGGTGACACAGGCGTGGTAGACACCCTGGAGGCACAGCTGGAGGATGCGAGGAGACGCCACTTAGCTGGCGAATACGGGGAGACGCTCCCCTTGGCGGTCGTCGAGGCTGGCATCCGCGCTGTGTGGGCGGGCACCCTCCTCAGCCTGCCTCTCCTCGTCCTGTGAACGCTGAAGGCGGCGTCGACATAGGCGTCAACGCCGGTGACCAAGTCGGCAGCAGTGCGGGAGGCACGTCGAGGCAGAGAGGGGTCTTCCGGATGGCTCATGGCGATGTTGGCGGCGTTCAGGCGTGAGGGCTGCAGTCGTCGGCGGCTGCGGGCTCCTCGCAAGGCGACGTCGGTGGACGTCGGAGTAGCGTGACGCCGGCGTCAGCGACTCACCTGACCGCAGGAGGGATCGCGCCGACCTACGGGTACTTCAAATTCACGCCGGACAAGGTCATTGTCACGGCGCCGGTGGTCGGTCGTCACGACCTTCTCACGTGGAAGGAGTCCATTGAGCCCGAGCTGGAGACACGAGCAGGTGAAGGGAGCAGCGGAACGTCTTCGATTGACGGTCATAGCAGCACCATCGAGCGCTCGGCGCTCCGTTCGGCGGCAGCAGCGCAGCAGTCTTCCGTGCTCTCTCCGCACATGCGGTGCTAGTACTATCAGTGAATCCCTACAGCGACCGCAGCGAGGCAGCGAGGGTGGCGATGGAGGCGGGAGCGAAGCGGCCTGAAGATGTTTCGCTGCCGAAAGGTACCCCCGAGCGCAGCTGACCCAGCGCTGCCCGGCCGGATGCCTAGAATCTCGCTGTTCTCTGCCACCCTGTGGCTCTCCAACCTCCACTCCTAGCCTCTCTGCTCTCTCTGTGACGACACTAGTCTCTGTGATGCATTCCCTGCTCCTACTCCTGCCCGCCCCCATCCTCCTCCTACCATCCCTCCACCCCCTTCCTCCTCCTGCCATCCCTCTCCTCCCTTCCTACTCCCAGTATTGCCATTATTTTCAATCTCCGGTACCCTCTCCTCTCCCTTAGACTGTACCTTCAACTTTTTTATTTTACCCTTCGTGGGTGTTTGTCAGCGACAATGAGTCGGCTAATTAAGGAGATGCTGCCGCGGGACGTGCGATCTCCAAGGACACGCAAGACCTCCTCATGGACTGCTGCCTCGGTGAGTCCATGTCTCTCGCTGGGTTGATTCCATGTCCTTACTTGGTGGGTTGCTTCGGTGGGTTGCTTCGGTGGGTTGCCTCGGTGGATTGCCTCGGTGGGTTGCCTCGGTAAGTTGCCTCGGTAAGTTGCCCCGGTAAGTTGCCTCGGTACTGTAGACTCATGCCTCATGGACTCATGCCTCATGGACTCATGCCTCATGGACTCATGCCTCATGGACTCATGCATCATGGACTCATGCCTCATGGACCCATGCCTCATGGACTCATGCCTCATGGACTCATGCCTCATGGACCCATGCCTCATGGACCCATGCCTCATGGACCCATGCCTCATGGACTCAAGCCTCATGGACTCATGCCTCATGGACTCATGCCTCATGGACTCATGCCTCATGAACTCATGCCTCATGGACTCATGCCTCATGGACTCATGCCTCATGGACTCATGCCTCATGAACCCATGCCTCATGGACTCATGCCTCATGGACCCATGCCTCATGGACTCGTGACTTATGGACTCATGCCTCACGGACTCATGCCTCATGGATTCATGCCTCATGGACCCATGCCTCATGAACACATGCCTCATGGACCCATGCCTCATGGACTCATGCCTCATGGACTCGTGCCTCATGAACCCATGCCTCATGGACCCATGCCGCATGGACCCATGCCTCATGGACCCATGCCGCATGGACACATGCCTCATGGACTCATGCCTCATGGACTCATGCCTCATGGACACATGCCTCATGGACACATGCCTCATGGACTCATGCCTCATGGACTCATGCCTAATGGACACACGCCTCATGGACCCATGCCTCATGGACACATGCCTCATGGACCCATGCCTCATGGACTCATGCCTTATAGACACATGCCTCATGGACTCATGCCTCATTGACACATGCCTCATGGACTCATGCGTCATGGACTCATGCCTCATGGACTCATGCCTCATGGACTCATGCCTCATGGACTCATGCCCTATGTTGCGGAAGGCGCGTCTAGCGTCTTAGACGGTTGCGTCTAGACGCATCGTCTAAGACGCTAGACGCATTTCAGGCCAGATTAGACGCATAATAGACGAAACCACGGGGAGGCCAAAAAAGTAGTACGGGCAGCCTAAAAAACCTTCTATAGGCCATGGGGAGGGGGAGGGGGAATGGGATGAAGACGACCTCTGGGTATAGCAGACGAATTAGGCTGCTGGGACATTCATCGAGATCTAGAACTTCTAGATCTAACATTGACGCTCACAATTTCATATCTCAAACTGGTTGGGTTTTCCAGATTAAGTGCGGTGAAGATTGGTAATGGGAGGGGGAATTGGTTGGTCACGAAATGGTTCACAAATCTGTTGGCTGCAGGGGACGAATTCCAATTTTGACTTAGCTTTCCGTTTCTCAATTTGTCTAACACCTCCTCCGATGCTTCTTCTAGAACGTCTTTAATTGGCCAGCTCATTGTAGAGCAGAGGCGTGCAACACTTTAGTCCTAGCAGCTGATACTATTATGGGGTTTGGGGCTAAAAGCTAGGTTTGGGGGATATTATCAAGGTCGAAATGGGTGGGAGGGGTTGATATTTCGCGCGCGCGATTTTTTTTTCGGGCTGACCGAAAATTTCCCCCCCATGCGTCTAGCGTCTAAAGGTGCGTCTTGCGTCTAGCGTCTAGACAATGCATCTAGACGCTAGACGCAGGACGGTCCCTGCGTCTTCCGCAACTAAGCTCATGCCTCATAGACTCATGCCTCATGGATTCATGCCTCACGGACTCATGCCTCATGGACTTATGCCTCATAGACCCATGCCTCATGGACCCATGCCTCATGGACTTATGCCTCATGGACCCATGCCTCATGGACTCATGCCTCATGGACTCATGCCTCATGGACCCATGCCTCATAGACACATGCCTCATGGACTCATGCCTCATTGACACATGCCTCATGGACTCATGCCTCATGGACCCATGCCTCATGGACTCATGCGTCATTGGCTCATGCCTCATGTACTCATGCCTCATGGACTCATGCCTCATGGACTCATGCCTCATGGACTCATGCCTCTGTTATAGTCACAGTAGGCTCCAATGTGCCTCAAAACGAAACATAGAGTGCACAGTCGGATTCTGCACAGCGGCTTCAAACGTTCATAGCGTTCTGGTCACAGCTTTAAATGACCTGATTCAACTTGGATCTGGAGCGTCTTACTGTCGCCTACAATAGGCAATTTAGATCGCACGATTTCACCAAGTATTGACGACACAGCGTTAGTTTGAACGAACGGCACTATGGCAGCCACTATAGTCTTAGAACACAAGATAGGAAGAGTTAGGAAGAGTTACGAGTTGGGAATGACTCCCAGCTCCTACAAACCCCAAGAGCCGAGGTACAGTGATGTGGAACAGTGCCACACTGTCCCCAACCAAGAAGGGTCTCGAAACTACCCTTCACAAGGGCCTACACCAACTGAAATGTTACACTACACAAAGTAATGTAACTATCTTCAATATCTTGAGGTGTACCCTTTTGGCGAGCTTCGCGATCACTTGAATGTTCACACCAGGGGCTCGGGTTCTTCATCACAAACTCATCCTTGAGTTCTTGATGGGTCTGCTGCACACACCTGCGACACGCCGAACGTTCGACACAGGACAAAATAGGAACCGCGCGAGACACACAAGCGACAAGATAGAAACCGCGCGGGACACGAATAGCGATAACTCGCTATTGACTTGACACGCACACATTCGACATCATGACTCAACATTCACACACTATTATAAGCATTAAATATATATTATCTCATGCCCTCATACCATTCCATGCACACACGCATGCACGCACACGGACAACAAGCCGAGTGCAAACCGTAGGGTTGCACCAACAAACTCCCCCTCGGATTGTTGGCCTTAGGATATGTTGCTCTCTCAGTTCAGAGCCATCCCAGCCAGCTTGCAACACTTCCAATGCTGCTGCTCCACCAGCCTCTTGGTCATCATGTCAGCCGGCTGCCCCGTGGTCTTCACGTAGCGCAACTCAACTTCACCCGCGGTTACCATGCTCCTCGTCCAATGCCACTTCACCCTCATGTGCTTCGTGAGTCCATGCAACACAGGGTTCTTAGCAAGAGCAATGGCACCCTGGCTGTCACAGTACAGTGGGGTAGGTCCTTGCTGCTCCTCCCCCAATTCAGCCAACAAACGCCGCTGCCACACAATCTCCCGTACCGCACGGAAGAGTGCCATGTACTCGGACTCCACCGAGCTCAATGCTTGATCAACCTGCTTCTTGCTCTCCCAAGCAGTTGGGCCTCCACCAACACAGCAAATGAACCCTCCAACACTTGTCATGTCCTCTGGTTCCGATGCATATGAAGCATCCGAGTAGGCGGTGAGGAACAAACGCCCGGGTTCTACACCATCCGCGCCCTTTTGGCGCCTTTGCGCCGCCGCCGAGTATTGCAGCCCAACGGTCGGTGTTTGGCCAAGATACTTGGCCACCCTCATTCCAGCTGCTACCTGCTCCTCATTAGGGCATTGCACAACCCTAGCCAGCTGCCCGGTAGCAAAGGCCACGTCCGGCCGAGTGTTTACCGCCGCATACATGAGGCTGCCCACCAACGAGTGAAAACGGCGCCTCTCCTCTTCACCAACGCTCTCCTCCTCTGGTCCCTTCACACACTTGAACCCAGAGGGAAAGGGAGTAGCCACATGGCCTTCACTCTGGCCAAAGTTGGCAGCCAACGCCTCCAGGTACTTCCGTTGGTGCACCCGCATGCACCGCTTCTCCACGTCTCGTTCGATGTGGAGCCCAAGGTAGAAGTTCACGTCACCAAGGGACTTGCACTTGAACTTGTCCTGAAGCTTCAGCATCACCTCCTTCACAAGGTCAGAGGAGGGTGAGAATATGAGAATGTCATCCACATAAACTACCATGAAGCTCCTCTGCTCCCCCTCGCAAAGCATGAACAAGGAGTGATCGGCCGTTGAGGGAGTGAAGCCGATCTCCTCCAACACTTCGCGCAGCTTCATGTACCATTGCCTAGGGGCCTGCTTCAGCCCATAGAGGGCCTTCTTCAGCTTCCACACTCTGCCACTACCATCATCAAACCCCTCTGGCTGCGCCATAAAAATCTCCTCCTCAAGGATGCCGTTAAGGAATGCCGTTACGATGTCCATTTGCTTTACCACCCATCCTTTGATGGCGGCTCCCGCGAATAGGGTTCGCAGCGTCGTCGGCTTCACCACAGGAGCAAACAGCTCCTTGTAGTCCACCTTCTCCTTTTGCTGGTACCCCTTGGCCACCAGCCTAGACTTGTAACGCTCGATCTTGCCGTCGGCGTCGGACTTGATCTTGAAGAGCCACTTGGACGTAATCGCCTTACGCCCCTCCGGTAGCTCCACCAACTCAAACGTGTCGTTCTCCTCGATGCTTTTCAGCTCACTCTCCATGGCCTTCTTCCACTCCTCAGCATCACTACTCTCCAAAGCCTCCTTGAGAGTTGCTGGTTCTCCCGGCATCTCCACCGGAGAGAAGAACGCGAAGGCACACTCCTCGTAGTCACTCTCCTCGTCGTCTCCGACCATCATTGCCGCTCCGGCCAGGGCTGTCTTGCCCTGCTTTCCTGGCGCATCATAGGTCAGCCTATTAGGGGGTTGAACTCTCCTCTTCCCCCTTCCTTCCTCCTCAGCTGCAGGGACTTGAAGGCCTTGGCGTTGCTGCGGTGTGGCTCGAATCCGTGGAGCACTTGTGGTGCGGGAAGGGAGTGACGGTGCACGCTCGCTCACTTGCTGCACCTCCTCCTCTTCTTCCTCTGCATCATTGGCCTCCTCTCCCCCATTCACAAGGGAGGATTGCCTCGTGGTTGTGCTGCCGCTGCTCAGCTCCAAAGGCAGCTCCACATGCTCCAAACCGGAACTCTTCACCTCCCCAAACCGCACGCCTATCTTCGCCTCATTCTCCGCCTTCCAATCTTTGTACATGAAGTTCTCCATGAACTTGCAGTCCCTGATCACCAAGAACTTCTTGGTGAATGGGTCCCAAAGAAGCCATCCCTTGCTGTTTTGAGCCATGCCCAAGTGCACGGCCCACACCGCCTTGGCACCAAGCTTGTTGTGCCGAAGATGCTTAGGCACGAGCGCCATGCACATGCACCCGAACACCCGAAGCATATCCACCTTTGGCTTCCTTCCTAGCCACTCCACATAGGGCACCCATTTGTCTGCTCCCACATGAGTCAAGGCTCGGTTCTTGGCCACACACGCGCTCCGCACCGCATCAGGCCAGAAATAGTCGGGTAGCCCGGCTTCAATGAGCAACCCGCGTGCCGCCTCCGTGATTGTGCGGTTCGCTCGCTCGGCGATGCCGTTCATTGCAGGGGAGTATGGCATGGTGAGGGAGTGCCGAATACCATCCTTTTTCAGCCACAACCCAAACTCCTTGTTCAGGAACTCTTCCCCTCGATCGGTGCGGATTGACTTGACTAGACGGTCTTGTTGCCGCTCCACCATCGGGAACCAATCCGCCTTCAACGTTTCAGCCACGTCGCTCTTCTTGGCCAGCACGTACACCCAAGTCATACGGGTGTAGATGTCCACAATAGTGAGGAAGTACTCAGCTCCAGCAGCTCCAAGCTTCAGGGGGCCCACCACGTCCATCACCACCTCATCAAGTGGTGCCTTAGCCGTTGCCTCCGAACTAGAGAATGGGAAACGGGTGAACTTGGCTTGCATGCACGTCGGGCAGCCAAGTACCTCATCGGGCTCCCCCTTCACACGTATGCCAGCAACCATCTCATTCTTTACTAGCTGCTGCAAGATGGGCAGGGCCACATGCCCCATGCGCCGATGCAAGGTGAGCCAATCACACTCCCCCGTAGCCGAAGTTGGATTGGAGAAT